TCGTGGAGCTGCTGGAGTCTCCGGCTGATGGCTCAGCTTTGCTAGAAGCGTTCTGGATCAGGCACAGACGGCACAGACGACGTCTGGATGAGAGCACACCAAAGGTTGGATTGGACAGATGAGGCCGACACAGATAGGGGCGGACAAGACACAAGGATGTCGAGCAAATTTCAACCCCTCATTATCATGGCATTGGAGTTGTTTAGGGGATTGTATGGGGTTCAGGGTTTGGGATTGTATACTGTACTAGCTTGGGGCTGTTTGGAGTTTATGGCTTGGGGTTGTTTGGGTTCTGGAGTTTTGGATTGCTGTGGGGGGTTCTGGGTTGTTGAACCTTGCAACAAGACACCCCTGACTGAACCCTAACGAAATTATCCCAAGCCCTAACCCCTTTCGAAACAGCCTTAGACCCGAACCCCAAACAAGCCTGAACCTCAGTGAACCCTAAACAACCCCAAGCCCTACACGCTACACAAACTCAAGCCCTAAAACCTAAATAACCCACAATAACCTTAAACAATCCTTAGCAAACCTCAATAATCCCAAGCCATAGCCCTAATCAATCCCAAACCCCTAACCTTTGCAACCCCGGGCCCCAAAAGCCTTAAAGGACGCGAAGCCCTAAACCCTATATGTCCCCAAACACCAAAACTTTACTGCCTGTTTAGGGCCTACTGTAGGGTTCATCCAGGATTTAGTATTTGGGGATGTTATGGTCTATGGAGGCTTGGTCATTTAGGTTTTCTTCTGGGGTTGTTCAAAAATGGGTTCGGGTTGTTTAAGCTTCAGGGCTTGGGACAGTTTAGGGTTCAATGCGGTTTGGGCTTGTTTACGGTTTGTGGTTGTTTCTCCCCGGCTACCTGGTTCGTGCCTGGATAGGGGTTCTGATCCATAATACTGTGTCCTGATCTAATGTCGCTTGATGCTTGCATCAGCCACTTTCATGGTACTAGTATGGTTTATTTCCCTGGTCCCACTGCCTTGGATTCAGTGTTGCTTCTGCAAGTTTCAGGTCTTCAGCGACGTGCGGCTTCAGCTTCTTGACAGGTACGCCCGGCTGTAAATGCAAACCTTTCGAAGGATTTCTGGCGTTGTTATTGAGCGGCCGTAGACTTAAAGCATCATGACAGCACACCTGTGGATCAAGCCAGCTGGCTTGACAAACCAGGGCGGGTATTTGCAGTGTAAACATGAAAGACAAATTGAAACCCCAAAGCCGACTTCAGAAGATCGGGTGTGAAGTTGAATTTGCATTTGAATATCAATGGTTGGGTAAGGGCGCTGAATTCGCAAACGTTGGCACGCTGTCTCCTGAAGGATGTCTTCATTGAGCAGACTTGGCTTGCCCAAAACATTGGCTGACTGAAAAGGTTCATAGCTTGAGAAGTGTCAGTAGAGATGTGGGCTGCATCAGAGAGAGGCGCATCAGATCATGTCAAATGTGGGTTTGGTGTCAGTACAACAGCACCAACCGCATGCTTGACACCAGTACGTGTTTTGCAAATGGCAATGCACACGAGCAAGTGGATTCACAGCAGTCGCAACTCACGGACAAGGATCCCAATTCATGGACCAAACTTGTCCAGCGATAGGCTTCTTAGTGGATTCCCTTCTTGAACGAATGTCGATGACAGATGAATCCAGAGGGCATGTCCTTAAGGTTAGCATCTCCGGGCAATAGTTCCAAGCATCAACAGCAGAAGGCATTGGACGTCTGTTGCTTGCAGAGGCGACGCCCTGCGCTCCTCCGTGCAGTTCTTCGTCTGGCAGCACTTCTACCACAGGATTGCTTAAGGGGATGGCATGTGCAGCATTTTCAAGCAATCACCGTGATTCAAATTTGAGCAAATTGTCGGAAGTATTTGCAGCGGTGCTATGTCAAGTCTTCCACAGAATACTGTAGGTGATCCCCCCACCCGCTGGCGAATAACATGCAAGAGAATCTCCTCCCCGATTAATTCAACCTCAACCGCCTGACAAACTTCAGTGTTCCAAGTGTACAGTCTCCGGTGCTACGGGTATGCTTGTAACATCTCATCCTCATCTTTATATGGCACTGCTATTGCAGTTGGCAGAATGGAAGCATCAGGCTTCTGGTTTCTGCATTAAATAGCTGTTGGGCTTCAGCAGCCTTTCTTCAAAGTACGTTAAGACATGAAGCATTCGACAGCCTGCGGTTCACATGTTGTTCTGCCCTCTTCCTCTTCCTGAAGTCCCCCAACTCTTGGATGTGTGTAACAGATTGTGGAGCCGTCCGTCACGCTTGCAAGTGCAGTTCGAAAGTTGTCATTCAGTGGGGATTGAGAAAGATGTGAACTGAGAAAAGAAACTGATCAGTTTCTGCTCTTGCCTGGCTCGATGGCAAGCGTGAACCAGCCGATGCTGTTGCAAAATGTGTACTAACACGCAGCTAACGAGTCTTTTTAAAACCTTTCATTTCAAGCTTTTTGTCAGTTGACAAATTCGCGACTGGCTCCGTGGCTCTCGGATGGAGCGTCCTTGCGATTTGGTTTGAAGCTGCGCACTCGTCACAGTTCCAGATCGCCCATGTTAAATATCAATCCGCGAAGCTGCCATTTCGATTGGGACCCTCGATGTTGCAAGCCTCCAAGTGACGACTGTTTCGTATCTCTCGTGTGGAGCGTGACCGAGATGATGCGTTCCCAATCCCGCGACCTCTGCAGAGAGCCGCACAAGTTTGGATTATGTCCTGAAATCCGGTGTTGTTGCTTCGTGGCATCTCACGTGTGTTGTGCTGTCCAGGGCTCATTCCGCAGCCATCGCAGCCCAAATCGCGCTGTGTGTTTGTGCTTCAGCTTTGATCCCATCTGTATTTTGACGCATCGCGCTCCTGCCATGGTCCTGCGCGAGTGTTGCCTGCGAAGTGCAGAAGAGTTGTTGCCATTGGGCTCTTGAGGTCGTGCTCTTGGTGCAGTCCTTGAAATGGTTTTCCACTGGTTGGGGTCTCTGTCTGGGTGGGCAAAACGCAGTAAAAAGGTGTCCTCTTCACAAGCCGCTTGCTCCATCCAGATTACCATCGGCCTATACGCGTCGTGGAGCTACGCCACCAAAGTAAGTTGATTTCCCTAATGCGGAGACATGTTGCGGAGGAGAAGGCTCTGCAGAGCCGCTTACAGGTGGTCGAGACTGGACTCCTGCTTGACCGGGTCATGGCCACTCGGAGAAACTCGTTTGTTAGTGTCACAGACCTCACTACAAGCAGTCATGAAGTTTTTGTTCTGATGCTCTGTCCATATGTGGCAGCAGCCTGCTTCGGATTCGGAGCCGTTGGCATCAAGCGTACACCAAAGGCTCCCTGCCTTGGCCTCCTGCCCTTGCCATGGCATTGGGAAGGTGGGTCCTGCATATTCTGCTGTTTCTCCCTGCGCTGGGCTCAGCCAATCCTGACCTGCACCACAGGGCTGTAACAACTTGTGGTTCAGGTGCTCTCCTTGGCAAAGAAGAACAGCTCTCATCATGGTCTGTGTATGCTCAGCTACAGACTGCGCTCTTCCAAGGCAAGCCTGAGTTGGCTATAGTGGCCCGGGGCTGTTCTTAGCCGGTACCGTGTAAGACGTAAGGTGGCATTATTCCGCGATTCTAAGGAACTATTGATCATATTCTGTAGGTGCACATCCTGCCTTGTGTTAAGCTCCTTAGCTAACGAAACCATTTTCATGGTGAATTCGAGCGTTTGTTTTTGTGAGATGATCAACTTAAGGCAAGCCAGCACCAGCTGGGAATTCGGTACACGCTTTTATTGTTGCTTGTTAGCTACTGTGCATTGTTTGTCTTTTGATTATGTTGCTGTTGGAGCAGATAGCATTTAGTCACTAATCCAGTCTGTCTTGTTTTTGCCTGAGCCATGTTCCAGCCGCTTAAGCTTCAAATGCGCCGGCCCCTTGCTAGGCAGAAGTGCCCCATACACTTGTCGTCTTCGTCTCCTTAGGAGGGCATCCTGCTCACAGCTTTGTTGTCATGGTTTGATCGTGCACTTGCACGCCAGGAAGAAGAGTTGGATTTGATATGACAGGGGTTGTAAAGCTAAGGGGCGTTAGACGGCATAGGGTCGGCTTGCCGAGCACTTCCATTTCTCATGAGCTGACAGTTCGACGTGTTTGAAAGTCAACATCCAAGCCACTCACTCACTCACTCACTCCCTCGCTCACTCACTCGCTCACTCAATTTCTCTCTCAAGCAGCCAAGACAAAAGCCCGGGATCGATCAAGCAGAACATTTGGTCAACATGGACAGCTGAAGCTTCCATATATCGCTTTAGCTTGTTGCTTCGAAATCTTGATGGTAAAGCTGAGAAACTGCGGAGCCCCTTGGATCTCTTGGGTCAGATATCTTAGCATCTGGGTCACGCAGAACTGTCGGCTACCTCTGGTCAGGCGGGCCTGAGCAGCCTTGAAACGGACCAATCAGTTCAAGGCGCTTTGGCTGAGTTCAGCTATCGCCGCAGGTAAGTGCGCAATCATTTGGCAATGCTTGACGTATGCATCAGCTGCAGCAGGATATTCTGGCTGAAATTCAACAGTATGAGCCAGTGACAGCCAGTGTTCGAAGACCTAAATTAATATAAAGGAGGGGGCACCTCTGCAGTCAATGCTGATACTGTCATTTCCGCAAAGAAGCATTCTTGGAGTGGACTAGCACGTGACTGCAGCAGTGTTGTGTAAGCAGGCGATTCTGAAGATGATGAGTACGAAGAATGTGATGAAGGTCTTGATGAAAGCAATGCCCTCAATGTGTTTTTTTGTCGTGCCTGTGCATTTTCAGAAATGCCTTTGTTGGATTTGGCCATCATTCCCTAACCCAGCTTCCAGAAGGTTGTGACGAAGAGGATGATGTTGAAGAGGAAGCACGCAGCGAGACACTTCTGCAGGTAGGCCATGACGAGGCAACACCTTTGTTGGAGTTTGACACTGGTTTTATTGGTGAGCATTCTGTAGCTTGCTTGTCAGGCCTCAGAACTTGCTCTATCAGAAGACAGCCTATGGTCAGAAGTTGCAACTGGTCTATCTAGTCCTGTGACGATCAAGCTGGGAGCTTACAAGGGACTTTTGCTGGCCAACCGCAGCTTACATTGACACGCGCGAGCCCGTGATCTGATATCAGCATCCTGCTGGCAAATGGACTTAGGGGTGGCATTTTCAACTATCGTGGCAAGATCATCATCCTCGAGCAGCAAGCTCCTTAGAGTTACATGTAGGGCCTTGTGGACAACATAACAGAAACACTGCTCACACGAACAAGGCGTGGGCTCTTTGAGCTGGACTCAGATGCAATGCAGTGGCACAAAGTGGCCGAGTCTGCCTTCGGCAAGTATGGCAGCGGAAAGGCGCGATCCTCTGCTAAGAACCATGTCTGGTCATGGCGCTTCAGTCTAACAAAGTGGCCGGACTGCTCCGCGTGCTTTGCGAAACACACTTCCGTATGAAACCTGCAGAACCCAGCAAGAATTCTTGTCACGGGAAGGCTTGGGTGTTGAAGCTCAACGGCACTGAACGCCTTTTTGCCTTCCGTGGCTTGTATCAAGAACAGGAGCTGGAGACATTCAGACATGCACAATTGGCTGGCTGTTGTCAATAGGTTTGTAGGCCTCCAAGCGGCCAGGAACACGCATAGCCTATTCGCTGTTGAGCCACTGCCACGGTGCCATCAAAGGCGAAAGCAACCTGCGTCTGTACGAGGATGACGACAAGGAGTGGAGAGCATTGGAGAACAAGCCAGGCATGCTGCCGTGCCCAAAGTCGCCAGTCATGAAAGCTAGTTCTTTTGGAGGACCTCATTTCTTGGGCATCAGTTGTTACAAGTTATAATGCAAATGATTGGAACTTGCTGGACTCTACGACAACATGTCATTGTTTCTACAGGGGTGAGGGGGTGAGAGGGTGCCCGCAGGAGAGGGGCGGGTTGGGGGAGGTAGGGTGGGGCCCGGCCCCCCCAGGGCACCACCACAACAAGAGATGTCAAAGCCGAAACGGAACGGCCCCGGAGAGATCTTCTGACCCACACGGTGTCGGGGGAGTTTCATGGCATGGGTTTGTGGGCGCGGCTTTAGGATGTGGGATGTAGGAACTTCTGAAGCTCCAGCGTAACATGGATAGTCGTGGCTGGATAGCTGTTAGCCTGCTCACGCCCTCTAAGTTTCGTGGCCCTCTTCTCAAGTCCGTAGGTGCGCTTGCCAGGTGAACGTGGCCACTTGGAGTGGGCCATCGATAGCAAGCTGTACATCAAGGCACGAGCTATCACAAGCTCCTTGTGCAAGCAGCATCTTGTGAATCTGCAACGCGGGCTGAGCAGGACAAGTCGCAGCAGATTTGGAGTTACAATGCTAGTGTGCCACGAGTGCATCCTGCTGCAGACTTCTCCGTCAGCCTTGAGCATCGCTGCGAGCCCAACGGAGCAGGCCTTACTTTCGCTGGGTACACATCCTCCGGACACAAGAACAAAGGAGGTCAGAGGCTTGCTCAAATGGAGGACCCTGTATGCTGGCATGACTGGCAAGCACTTTCAGGTTAATCGAGCAGGCCGATTTTGGCCAGCTGTTTGGTTGAATTTCGGGATATCTGATTGTTGCTTCGACACCACACCCAGCCCCTAGCTAAAGCCGGACAAGCTAAGCCAAAGCCTCAAAGAGTCCTGCCAGAAAACTCATACTTGCTGTTGTTACACAAGTCAAAAAGGTGTAGAGTTCGTATCGTCCCTTTCTGTAAAGTTCCGGGGGCCCTTACCAAATCCATCAGATCGCAAGATAGGGGATCCTGTGCTAGCCCAAGCTGAGCCCGTGAGTGAAAATCAAACTTGAAATCCCAGATTGCCTACCTGGATGCCAAATGCGCTGCTGCTTTTGGCGCCAATGCTCGGGCAGCCCTAGCTTCTGAAGTTATTGCTGGAATCGATTGCCTTCCGGAGACACCACTGGGTCCGCCCCGTGCATGGGGTGCTGGTGAGGGTGCTGTTGTGGCTTGCTGCTTGGCTCCATCGTGTTTCTGGGTCCAGGTTGGAATTTTCTGGATGGCTCCTAGCAGACTTGTATAAGTGGTTGGTAGATGTTGGTACCACGCTCGAGGCGAGAGCAAGCTGAACTGCATAACGGCCTCCAATGTGTGGGCCATGTCCGTGAACTATAGGGACCATGATTCCTGGCCTACAGACATCAGTGACTTCCGGTGTCTTTGCTGGAGCGAGTCATGGAAATTTGAACAACATTGGCTGGTGACCAAAGAGCAAGCCGTACACCTTCAGTCAAATGCTGAGGTCCTGCAACAACTGGTGCGACCAGGTCATTTGCGTCGTGACTGCGACCGAGGTTTGCGGGTGATGTCCGCAATTGCTCGACCACTTCTGATGTTTTTTTCATCGACTGGGATCTTGACAGGCTAACAAAACGGCAGACGAGCAACCTGCCAAGCTGGACACCAACGAGCCGCTGCTGGAGTTGAGTGATGCCTCAATGCCGGTTTCTGGTCATGCTTTGGATCGTGCACCACCGAACATGCTGCAGCTTTGCTGGTCGAGCCAACGGTAGTATGGATGCAGAGAATGTTGCCGTTCAGGTGTTCCAATTTGATCTGACAGCCTACGGCCAAGCTCCGGAGGCGGCTGGGGGCTTAGAGCCAGGGAATCCGCGTTCTGCAGTTTTTTGTCTACGCCCGTGTAGAGCCAAGGTGCTGAAGCTGAAGCTGCAGCTGCTGCCAAAGCACAAGCCGAGAAATGGCATTGCAGCGACCGAGCTGCAGGTGAGTCTGCATCCCAGCCTACCGGACCTAGCACAGAGCTCCATGCCGCACCATGCCCCATCCACCATGAATCTTGAGGACAACAGGACTGCAAACTGGACGGAAACTTCTCCAAGGAAGGGACGGTCCTGGACAGGATCGCTTTCTCAGAGGGAACACGAGGTGGAAATAGCAAATGGTACAAGTTCAACGTCTCTGATGGTGTCGGGGCCTTTGCAGGCATGCCTGCTAGATCCCTTGTTCATCATGACACTCCTGGGCTTTCATAGGCAACGTGTTTGCTTTGTTTGACATCCTAAGGTGAAGGCAGGACTGGGAGCGAAACTTTGCAGCTGATTCCAGAACGTAAGCATCTTGTATGCGTGAAGAGCTGACGGTCAAACAGGTGCAGCAGGCTGCCGGAGCTGGAAGCATCTGCTTCACGT